TGGTGTGGGAGCCCCCAGGAAATGCCAGGCCAGTTACCACCCCGGTGCAAGGTGGGTCTTAACCCCTAGCCCCCACAACCAGGTGGGTTACCTGTTGTTTGGAGGGCCTGGAGGGTGGACCCCCAGAGAGAGAGAAAGGCCATAGACTCAGGCCTGTCTGGACTTCCCCTGACTGGTCCATGCTGGAGCCAGGACCAGAAGGGTCGAAGGGCCGGGGGCCCACTGTGGGGAACGCCCAAGAGCTCCACACCTGGGGCTCTCCCTGGCCTGGAGGTGGGCCAGGGCTAGTGAGCCGAAGGTCCTGGGGGGACCACACCTGAAGGGAAAGCAGTTCAGGGAGCTATGCTGCCTAGTATGAAGGTGGATGAGACCGCCTGAGAAGAGGAGTCCAGGAGGGGTTTCATTAGGAGGATTTTGGGGCCCAGTGTGGGGGGCCGGTGATTATGATAACATCTAGATGCCATCTGCGAGGCTTGGGGAGGAATGGAGCCACAGATTGTGCCCCCTGGCATCGGGGCAAGAAATGGGCAGCCTCCCGCTTAATTGACATCTATTAATTAATTACCAACAAGGTGTGGCGGGCAAGAATGCGGGCGGTTAGCCCAGAAACAGGTGGGCGGGCCACAGTTAAATCAGCCCCGACCAGGCCCCCTGTTACACCTACCCATACTGTGGTTTTACAATCATTTCTCTATTTTTTTCCTCCACGATGTGTTTCTTTTCTCCCTTATATGTGAATGATCCACACAAATATCAGGGGAAAGTGACTGTACAGGAGAACAATACCATAACATTTTTAAAAGACTTTCGGAAAAAAACAGTATTTCTCCTCTGTCCACTTTCAGTTAAAACAACTTCACTATTGATTTGTGACAATAATCAGTAAATATTTCAGGCAAAAGTAGGACTTCTTTTAAAGTTGATGATCTCAGTTTCTCAGACTCTGTTTTACAGGTCTTTTAGACTGTGAACACAGGTAGAATTTCCAGCAGAAGCGAAAGAGAGATCAGCCCTCAAAAACCATACCCTTATATATATAAATCTTTTTTAAACAGAAGCTTTAAGTGACAAACCTTCTGCTGAAGAATATAGATATTTAATAGCTGGCAGACATTATGTTCCTAGCATCCTCTGCCCTAGGTGCCACTACTGAAAGACTGCTATTTATTTTTTAATATGGTATTAATTTAAAAGCTGACTCACTGGGTTAGCCTCATGAGATAAACAGCTCATTTTCTGGAAGGCCAAGTAGGGCAAGCAATCAGACAAGGCCAAGTTTACAATCCCAGCCTCCAATTCTGTCACATAGTTATACCAGTGTGTGCAAACTACAAATGAGAAATTGCTTTGGATGAGTATTTGCAAACATGCTTTTGAACTGAAAATTTAATAAAAGGAGAAATCTCTTAGATAGCACTCCCACTCCCATTACTCTTACTGAGAACAGTCTGGCACGCAGTTTGTTTCATACAAGAATGTTTGAGGAAAGGAAAAGGGGTCTGAATAGTCATGTGAGCCACATCATGAAGTCATGTGAATCATAGTTTCATAGTTGTTAGGGTTGGAAGGGACCTCAATAGATCATCGAGTCTGACCCCCTGCCCTGGCAGGAAAGAGCGCTGGAGTCATATGGCCCTAGCCAGGTGCTTGCCCAGTCTCCTCTTAAAGACGCCCAGGTTAGGGGAGAACACTACCTCCCTTGGAAGCCCATTCCAGATTCTGGCAACCCTTACCGTAAAGAAGTTCTTCCTTCCTGATGTCCAACTTAAATCTGCTCTCTGTCAGTTTGTGGCCATTGTTCCTGGTTATTCCAAGGGGTGCCCTGGTAAACAGAGCATCTTCTATTTCTTGCTGCCCTTCCTCCCTTTCTGCCCCCCCTGATGAATTTGTAAATGGCCACAAGATCCCCTCTCAGACTTTTCTTGTGGAGGCTGAAGAGATCCAGGTCCCTCAGTCTCCCCTCGTAGGGCCTTACCTGCAAGCCCTCAACCATACAAGTGGCCCTCCTCTGGACCTTCTCAAGGTTATCCACATCCCTCTTGAAGTGTGATGTCCATAACTGTATGCAGTACTCCACCTGTAGCCTCACCAATGCCGTATAGAGGGGAAGTATCACCTCCCTGGACCTGTTCATGATGCACCTGCTAATGCATGATAGAGTGAGGTTAGCTTTACTGATTACTTTGTCACATTGATGGCTCATATTCATCTTGGAGTCAACTATGACTCTGAGATCCCTTTTTGCTGCTGTGCTGCTGAGAAGGTCATTCCCTAGCCTATAGGTGTGTTGGTGATTCCTTCTCCCTAGATGCACCACTTTGCACTTGTCTTTGTTGAACTGCATCCTATTTCATTCTGCCCATTTTTCCAATCTGTCCAAATCCATCTGGAACCATTCCCTACCCTCTGCTGTATTAACTTTGCCCCATAATTTGGTATCATCTGTGAACTTGGACAGAGGCCCCTCTGGCAGGGCTGGGGGGAAGACATTGAATAACACAGGTCCAAGGACCGAGCCTTGGGGACCCCACTGCCCACATCTTTCCAGGTCAATACCGACCCATCCACGACCACTCTCTGGGTGCAACCCTTAACCAATTTGCCAACCACCTGACCATGTAATCATCTATGTCACAGCTGCTCAGTTTGTTTAGGAGAATAGGATGAGGTACTGTATTGAAGGACTTCTTAAAATCCAAGTAGATGACATTTCCCTTGACTCCTGCATCTAAGCATTTTGTGACCTGGTCATAAAAAGAAACAAGGTTAGCCAAGCAGGATTTACCTACTATGAACCCATGCTGGTTGCCCTTCAGCATTATTTTGCCTGATGGGCTCTCCCAAATGTGATCCTTGATAGTGTTTTCAAAGGTTTTCCCAAGGATAGAGGTGAGACTAACCGGCCTATAATTACCTGGATCCTCTCCTCCCCGTCTTGAAAATAGGGACCACGCTGGCCCTTTTCCAGTCCTCTGGGAGTCATGTGAGTCATCCATTAGCTGACATATAGCTGTATAAAATAGTCAAACTCATTAGCAAAGTTGTTTCATGTTTAACTAGAGGGTTGTTAGAGGGCTGTTGCTTCCATGTGCTAAACACATTTCATGCACAAGGGTGTCCTTGCACTCCTCCAGCCATCACCACAAGTTCCCTGTATGCAGTCTTCTCATTCTCATATGCTACACTTGCAACTAGGGGTGTGCAAAGCAGGCCCAATTCATTTTGGATTCGGCCTGAATCAGGGACAGTGATTTGATTAGTTGATTTGGATCACTGTCCCTGATTCGATTTGGCCAAATCCAAATCTGAAGATTCGATTCTGATTTGGAGAATCAGTGATTTGGACACAGACACAGCTTTAAATGTTTTTTCTACATACCTCAAGGTACCAGGCACAGCTCGTGAATGCTGCAATGTTGGGGTGCATGGAGCATCCCACAGGAGTGTGGGGAGGGCCTCCACATGCTTGGCGGCGGGGTCCACATCCAGTCAACTTCTGGTTGACTTCTAGGTTCGCTGAGGAGTGCGTGGGGGGCCCCGCCCACGCCCCACCCCAGCTCAGCTACTGGCCGCAAGGGAACCCCGGTGCCCCCCCAGATCAAGGAGGCACCAGTTGCTGAGCTGGGGGGTGCGCGGGGGGGGCAATGCACTCTCCGGCAGACCTGGAAGTGGACCAGAACTGCTTCTGGTCCACTTCTGGGTGTGGTGCTGAGCATGCTGGGGAGCCCCCCGCACTCCTGTGGGACACTCCATCCACCCCAGCATCACAGCATTCACAAGCCGCCTGCTACCTAGAGGTATGTAGAAAAAACATGTAAAGCGGTGTCTATGTCTAAATCGCCGAATCTTTCCAAATCTCTCCAAATTGATTCAGAGGGTTCAGAAATCAGCTGAATTGATTCCATTCAGATTCGGAGATTCAGCCACCAAATTGGGCCAAATCTCCGCAGAATCAAATCAGGGACTGAAGCTTCGCACAGCCCTACTTGCAACCTCTCCCACCTCCTCTCTCAGACAGGGGTTCAGACCATTTCCTCCTGCTAGCCAGGCAGGGGGTGTGTATGCCTGCTCTCCACTTACATTTATGTTCCAATTTCCCTCTTCCCCCCATTTTCTTCTTGTGTCTATCCTAGGATTCCCCCTTCTTCCACTGCCAGGGATTCTGCATGACCTCTATCCCCGAAGCTGCTAACCCTGCCATGCTTCCCTCTTTCTGTTCATGCTAGAGGTTCTGTATATATGGCCCTTCCCCCCTTTTCCTCCCTCTCTCCCATGCCAGGGTCCCTCAATCTTCCTCCCAAACCAAGGGTTCTATGTATGTGTGTTCCCCAATACTAGCGTTCCCCATTCTCCCCACCTTCATGTCAGCCTCTCCATTTCCCAACTCTGACTGGAGTTCTGTGCACAAACCCATTCTCACGTGCCTTCCAACCTCCCCCTTCTACTTCCAACAGTCTTGTTCTCCTTTCTTTCATTAGTATTCCCCTGTGGCAAGGATTTTGTGAGTGATGTCTTTTACTGAGCCAACTGCATGGTTGGGGTAGACTTAAACAAATTTTTGAATGTAAGGCATTCTTTCTCAGGTCTGCAAAAAGAAGTAGGCACAACAATGATTAAAAATAGTGTGAAGGGCTGTTGCTCCAATAAAGGGCAGTTGTTCCAATAAAAATGTCACCCACAAAAATCATAGAAAATTGGGGTTAGAAGGGACCTCAGGAGGTCATCTAGACCAACCCCCTGCTCAAAGCAGGACCAGCCCCAAATAGAACATTGCAGCCAAAGCTCTTTCTATCCAGGTCTTTAAAACTTCCAAAGATGGAGCTTCCACCACCTCTCTGGGTAACCTGTTGCAGTGTTTTACTACCCTCCTAGTGAGAAAATGTTTCCGAGTATCTAGCCTAACCTTCCCTTGCAACAACTTGAGACTGTTGCTCATTGTTCTGTTATCTGCCACCACTAAGAACAGACTAGCTCCATCCTCTTTTGAAGCCCCCCTTCAGGTAGTTGAAAGCTGCTATTAAATACCCTCTCAGTCTTCTCTTCTCTAGACTAAGTTAGCCCAGTTCCCTCAGTCTTTCCTCAGAAGTTACATCTCCCAGCCCCCTCATCATTTTTGTTGCCCTCCGCTGGATTCTCTCCAGTTTGTCCACATCCTTTCTGTAGTGGGGGGGGGCCCAAAACTGAGCAGAGACAGTACTCCAGATGTGGCCTCACCAGTGCTGAATAGAGGGGAATAATCACTTCCCTTGACTTGCCGGCAACACTCCTACCGAAACAGCCCAGTATGCTGTTGGCCTTCTTGGCAACAAGAGCACACTGCTGGCTCATATTCAGCTTACTGTCCACTGTAACCCCAGGTTCTTTTCTGCAGAGCTGCTGCCAAGCCAGTCAGCCCCCAGCCTGTGCTGGTGCATGGGATTCTTCCATCCTAAGTGCAGGACTTTGCACTTGTCTTCATGAGGTTTCTTTTGGTCAAGTGCCTTTCTCATGCAGTTCCTGGAACATCATGGCTACCACATTGCTTTAACACTGCCATTATTTTCACTGCAATCTTTCCAGGCATCATCATTTCTAAGTTTTACTGAGAGGTTGACTGGGGCTAAGGGGCTCTATTTTGCAGAAATATAGTAATGACTGCCATCAACCAATAATTGCAGTTGGTAGTTCCACTAATGGGGCACAAAGGCCTCCCTAGGTCCCTTCATTTCTCCTTTTTGGTATTTCTGAATTTCTGAAGTCAATCAATAGGCTTCTGTTTATAGATGTTTCCAAACCATTCACTGAAATTTTGTAATTGACCAAATGTGGCATTCATAAATTATCATTTGATTTCCAGAGAGAGATGCCATCAAGAAGAAGGCCTCACAAGCCTGACCAACTGGTCAATTAAATGAATGCAAACTGAAACCAATCCTCAGATATTTCATGAAAATAAAAAGGATTTAAAACAAATAATTAATTCTATTTGTGTGAATAACCCAACTAACTGCTGTAGGATGATATTTTTGTATGTAATTACTCATTTTGTATGCTTATTGTTTTGCATGTGCCTGTGAATTTTTCCAACACATTTTTAAGAGCCCTTTGATTTTTTTGCAATAAAGATGTGCAATACAGCCATGCTTATTGATATTTGCATGTCATATTTTCCTAGAAAACGAGGACATAAAGTTTGTTTTGGTGTTATGAGTTAAGGAATTCTACTCATGACTGTCACTGATTTACAGCATTGCCACGGACAAATCAGGAGCTGAGTACCATTGCTTTTGATTAGCTTCACTTTGGAATAGTGGATATTTATTACCTCAGGAACTCAGGCTCTTAACTGGCCTATCAATCTCCCATGATGCACCAAGGCCTGTCAGCCAGAGACCTAGACTACAATGTATCATAGGATATGTAGTCTGAATGGAGATCCCATGCCATGGAGGAAAACAGGCTTGAAGGAACCAAAATGACAGTTCCTATGAGGAACCACATTTACTCAGGTGGATCCAGAGATGGGGATGCTGTCTCAAACTAAAACAAAAGATTTCATTTTCAGTTTAAAAAAATAAACAAAAATGTTACTAATCCCTGAATAAGTATTACCAAGTTCAGCATTTCCAAATCAGGTTTTTATTCTATGAAAAGTTCCACAATCTTCAATTTTCATCCTTATTTAAACAAAAACAAATGTCCTAATATTAGAACTTCCCATGTGATGGAAACTCCATTTTCAGTCACCTCTACTTCTAAGCACTTGCGTACCTTTGTGCAGCTGGTTCATTCATTGTCTTTGAATTTCATGTTATGTGTGCTCTCTTGTGAAACCTGCCCGAGAAGAAAGCATTCAAAATTGCTTTCAAAGAAAGCATGGTAAAATTACCATCAAGCCATTGCATGTTTAACTCTGCTAATGACAATTCCCCTCCTTCTGTTTAGACCGAACTCAGTGATGGCATTGCAGTGTTAGTAGGAAGCAACGACAGAGTACAAGGAATAGTTAGTCAGCTGGAAGAGGCCTGCAGGACACTCGAGGTAAGTAATGCAATTTTAACTTCGACTTCAACACAATGTCTATATAATACATCTCTTTTTAAGCGATGATAATTATCGGGTATGAGTATCATTCAGTGGTCAGTCACCTTTTTTAGGTCGTGGGCTGGAGTGACCCATTTCAAGTCAGAGGCAGGAAGTCGGGCACTAGAAACCAGCCACTGCTGCTTCTTTTCCCCTCAGTGGTACAGGGAAGTGCCTACCACCTTTTCTTATCCCTGTAGTGGCACAGGAAAGTAACTGCTGCTAAAGTCCCTTGCCACTGAATGTTGCTGAAGCTCCACATTTGTGGCTCAGTGGACCAGATCCAGCCTGTGTGCCATAGGTTGCTAACTCCTGATATAATTTGTTTTATCCAAAGGGGCTCCCAAATCTAAACACCTTTTACGTTACACCAGAGGTTGCTAGCATATTGAGTTTCACACATGGAGGAATTTTTTTAAAGGTTCTCATGATTTCTTGATGCACTACAATTCTTTCTGCTGTCTTCTGTGAATCTCAATAAGACTAAACCTAGAATTCCTTCAGAAAAGATAGTCATCATTTTCTTAAACAATTTTTAAGTGCAAAGGACAATCTATTTTCTAATGTCTACCATGTTTTCAATGGAACGAAGATTAGACTGTCCTGCTCTCCTTTTCAGGCTACACAAGAAGGCACTGAGGAAACAGTAGGTTGGATAGTCCAGATGACTAATAGCAAGGACACGAGTAGACAGCAGGAGAGAAACTGAAAAGGAGTCACAAAGTAAGATGCAGGCAGAAAATTGAAGGAGTAAGGAAGCAGAGGTGAAGAAAAACAGTACAGACAACAGTAGCTCCAGGTGCAATGCTATGGCAAAAGAGCTAATGCAACTCTTGAATTATAGTGAAGTATAAGGTAAATACAGGGGAGTAGTGAGAAGAATTAAGAAGGTGATTTTACCCCTACGCTACCTTTACTGAGCTACTTTGTCCATTTCTGTGGTCCACGTTTTAACAGATGCTTAAAGACCAGGGAACTTCCAGAGAACAGCCACAAAAATGATTTGAGGATTAGAAAAAATGCCTTATACTGAAAGCTCAATTTGTTTACTTTATCAAGAGGATTAAGTAAATTAGTTACAATATTAAATACCTTCCACAGGAGAAAATACCAGCTCCTGTAGAAATCTTTAGTCTAGCAGAGAAAAGCATAGCAAGAACTGATGGCTAGAAGCTGAAACCAAATTAATTCAGACAGGAAATAAAGCACAGATGTTTAACAGTGATTATACACTGGAACAAATTACTAAGAAAATCAGTGAATTCTTTATTATTATCTTCAAGTCAAGACTGCAAATCTGCCTGGAATATATGGCTTAATCAAACATATTTTGGGCCTCAGTGTAATGATAACTGGGGATCCTGGTTTTCTCTAAAAAAAAATCACAAATTCTCTGATAAAAATAGCAAATTCTCTGATAAAAACACCAAAATCTGCAATTACAGTGACATACCACTATGTATATAGGTATCAATTGAACGCAATGTTTTACTGATATATTTACAATTCCAAAGCAAATTGGAAGTCTACTGATGCCTCAATCTCTATAATGAAATACATTCTAAATACCTATAAATCTTGGCACTTGATTTTGGGTTTTCTATAATGGAAAATCAGAGCTCCCCCAGCCCCTGTTGCTCGCCAGGATGCAGGTCAAGGCCCCTCACTCCCAAGCCGCAGCCCCCAGCCCTGCTGGTGCCTCACTCCCCAACTGCAGCTCCCTAGCCCTGCTGGTGCCCCTTACTTCCCACCCAGAGCCCCCCAGCCCTGTTGGTACCCCTTACTCCTCACCCAAAACCTCTCTGGCCTGGGGAGTGGAGTGCAGAGCCCAGCTCCCTCTCCCCTGTGGGTGGCATAGCTGGAGTGGAGCTCATGGTGGGGTGTGGGTGTGGGCTGCCCACTGCGGCTCAGGATCCCTACCCTGCTGCCCTCCCTGGGGCCTCTGCAGCCCAGCAGGCAGGACCTGGCATGGTAAGGCCGAGTGGGGCCAGGCAGGGAAGCTTGTGACACCACTGGAAGCTGTGCACCACCCTGGTGAAGTGCCCCTGCCCACCTGGCAGCAGCGAGGTGTACAACTCTGTGCTGCCACTCCTGCTACTGCTGGGCGGGCAGGGGGCACCTTCTCAGAGTTGTGCAGAGCTCCCAGAAGCAGCACGAACCTCCCCACCCAACCCTACTCTGCCCTGCCCTGCCACACCAGGTCCTGCCTGCTGGTCTGTGGAGGCCCCAGGGGAGAGCAGCAGGGTGAGGAGCTTGAGCCCACAGCAGACAGCCTGCCCCAACCCTGCACACTAATCTATGGGGCACATGTCTCCTGTGGCCCCCTGGGAATGCACACAGCAGTGGGGAGCCAGTCCTACCCCCTCCCACTCTCCGGACATGCCACCCACAACCCCATCCCACTCCCCACCCAGGACCTGCAGCCTTGAGTGGCCCCAAGGCCCATGCACTTCCCAGCTGGGGAACAGCCCCAGCCCCATCTATCTCCCTCCCTTCCTATGGGGGCCACAATTCCATCCCCCCTCCGCAGACTTACCTGTGGGAGCTGCTCTCCAGGCTGCCTGGCGGCCATGTACATGTACATGCACATGGTGCCCACTGCCTGACCACCCTTCTCCCACTTCCCCTCAGCCTCTTGCAGGCTGGAACTCTGCCAGCCTGCAGAGAGCAATTTGCAAATGTGGAAAATCCACGTGTTTCTCCATTAAAATGAGAAATCCACATTTTTCTCAGTTAAAAAGGAAAAGCCATGTTTTTTTCCATCCAAAGGCTCTGCCAAAAGCAGCATCCAAAGTGGTGGAGGCATAAGAGGTGGAAGCAGGGTGAACAAGGCTTAGCCCCCCACAAATGCAGGGCAATGGTAGGGCTGCAAGGCCTTCCAGTCATGGGCTTCCAGCAGCTGCAGCAGGGATGGGGAGGGGCACACGAACAGCGGTGAAGGAGGGAGTGGGGCTGAGGCTGCACAGCCAGGGTGGGGTGCGGGATGGAGCCATGAGTGGCTTGTCCAGGGGTGCAGCTTCTGCTGCTACACACACCCTGGGAGGCATGGGGTGGGGGGTGTGCCCCTGGATCTGTGCAGGGTGTGGTGGGCTGCTGCTGTGGGCTGGCGCCAGGGCTGCACCAGGCTCTTCCCAGAAGTGGGGGCTGGGCTGGGCTGCACTTGGAGTAGGCAGAGGCAGTGCTGGGAGGGGGCTGCAGCCACCCCAAAATTTGCCGTAGCCCCCCCCCCACAACTCCCCCTTTCAGTGCCACTGCCTCCTGCCCTGAGCACAGCCCGGTCTAGCCCCCCACCTTGTGGTGGCGTAAAAATTCATAAGGAGAGAGCAACTTGAAGTAGGTGACAATCTGTTTACCAGGACACCCCCAGGAACAACAAGGAACAATGGCCATAAGCTACTGGAGAGTAGGTTTAGACTGAACATTAGAAAAAAGTTCTTCACAGTCAGGGTTGCCAGGATCTGGAATGGGCTTCCAAGGGAGGTGGTGCTCGCCCCATCCTTGGGGGTCTTCAAGAGGAGACTGGACA